ACTAAGTATTTGATGACGTCACTAATCGCGAAATATGCTTGTATCATATAAGACACTATCCGAATTGTGAAATCATCAAACACTAAGTTTTAGTGGAATTGCAGGAACCATAGACATCTGATTGAAAATTGGAATGATGTAAATGGATGATATACACATACAAAAATTTAGAAAATCTCCTAACAATCCCTTTAACACACACTTACCTTTCAGATTGTAATTCTACAGTTAGATCTTTAATATCACCCGCTAGTTGTTGAATATTCTCTGAGATATCTACATGCTGATAACACGGCATGTCACGGATTGGTTGAAATTTAACATCGTTACCAAGACGACCTGAAATCATATCGATTATTTTTGGTTTTACTGTGTTTGTTACTTATTGGCCTGGTTACTATCTGCCCTCAGGGAGTATTATGATAGCACTTACTACGCTTGGCCTTGATGTTAATGTTTTGTTGGGGTTTCCATCCTAGATGGATTTGGATTGTTCTTATAATCAAAACTAGAATCTAAGTTTCAGCCATGCTTTATTCAATCTCTAAGCTCTTACATCATGCCTTCAACTCACAAAAGTACATATCCTGTCACATGACAAACATCTACCTTAAGAGCAGACAACTCTGTTTTACTGAGAAGGAAAATATGGGAGATAACTCTTACTTAACAATGATTTTTAAGACCACAATATGAAGTAATGATATCAATATGACATCCCCCTCTTTTCAAATTAAGAGTTCCCTTCTAAGTATCAGAACAGTACAAAGAAATTGAATAGAAAATGATATAAGTTCCTTGCATTCACTCGTACATTCATACTTAAATTGCAAACATGAAAAGCAAAACAAGAATAAGAAAAATCATGAACTTTGAAAGAAAGTAATGATGCTATCATTTTTGAAAAAAAAAAAAAATATTAATGAAGAACACACATGAACATATTTACACTTCAATCTATATAACTCGTAAACAACTACAAATGTTTATAATGTATATTATAATTCAAGCACTAATTTAGGTGAACTGAATGAAAAGTACTGCTCCAACCCTTATACAATATCATGAATGGAGATTATCTTTTTTTTTATGTGTATCCAGGACACTGATAGTGTCAATTTGCACCATTCCAATTTTCAATCAGATGTCTGTGGTTCCTGCAATTCCACTAAAACTAAGTATTTGATGACGTCACTAATCGCGAAATATGCTTGTATCATATAAGACACTATCCGAATTGTGAAATCATCAAACACTAAGTTTTAGTGGAATTGCAGGAACCACAGACGTCTGATTGAAAATTGGAATGGTGCAAATGGATGATATACACATACAAAAATTTAGAAAATCTAACGATCCCTTTAACACACACTTACCTTTCAGATTGTAATTCTACAGTAAGATCTTTAATATCACCCGCTAGTTGTTGAATATTCTCTGAGATATCTACATGCTGATAACACGGCATGTCACGGATTGGTTGAAATTTAACATCGTTACCAAGACGACCTGAAATCATATCGATTATTTTTGGTTTTACTGTGTTTGTTACTTATTGGCCTGGTTACTATCTGCCCTCAGGGAGTATTATGATAGCACTTACTATGCTTGGCCTTGATGTTAAGTGGCTTTGTGACTGTGGCACTAACTGCTCACACTTACTAGTGTGTCCTTTACTGCCCTGCTAACTTAATGTTTTGTCAAATACTGTACTGGAATATAATTGTTTAGTCATTTATTGTTTTGACTATTTCTGCCAGTCACTACTGCACATATTGTGTGTGTCATTTACATATCTTGCCACTTATTGGCCTTTATACCTTGGGATTTATTGCTTCATTAATTGTGCTTGTTTTGTTATGTACAGCACTGCCAACTAATTGTTTTCTCACTTTTTCACTTTCGCTAACAGCTCTAGTCACTAACTGTGTAGGTTATTCATTGTTTTGTCACTTACCTATGGGTATATCATCCTCATCATCACTGAACCGAGCATCAGGTATCTCAGAGGAATTATTGTCTAGATGATTTTCACCATTACTATTGTCCACGTCTATTGGTTCTAATTTATTTACTTCATCTTTTACTGAGGAAGAAAAAAAAGCCAAACTCAAATTTCAAGCATCAGTTTATTGTGGCCTGATATATTTACTGAGATTATCAAGAGTTACTTCCCTGTTTTTTTAATGTATACTTTTCATTGATTAATTTGTTTATAAGAAAATTAACAAAGGTCCTTGGTTTCTTGTTCAATAGAGAATAACTCATATAGATGTTTTTACCATATAAGCTTCTCTAACTTTGATCACTGGAAATGGGAAGGAAACAAGATTGAGGTATTATCTGATTTGATTGAAGCCTGGACCTTCAGAATATTGAGAAACCGGTTGCAACATTGGCTGGGATGAACATTAATCATTGATGAATGAAACTGCCACTAACCTTCCACAGAACAGAATTCAGGGAAAGTTTCTTGTAATAACATTCTTAATTCTTTATCTAGTTTACTATTATCAAACAATGGAGACAGAGACCTGAAATATAAATATAAACAATAGATTGATAACCTTCAACTTTCCCCAGAGAAATATATGCCCCATTTTGTCATTTTCATTTTTTGCATGTTACTTTGTATCTCAGAATTTTCCATTTGAAGCAACAATCAGATAAAATTCATCAATTTGATGCTATTTAATCAAACTTTTATGAATGTTGCCATGCCCCCCTCTCAACTTTGAATTTTTGTGCTTCCAATTTCATGATTTTTGACATATATTCAGTGAATCCTTCATTTTTGAATGTAACAAAGCAATCAGTGTTAGATCAAACAAAATAAAATTAGCACCAATACTCACGGTAAAACTCGTTTATTGACTATAGTTTGTAATGATAACTTTATACCCTGTTTTACTTGATTCATCAACATTGGACAGAAATTATTGTATGTCTGAAAAATAACACAAAAAAGGTTTGAAAGGCTGGAAATTTTGTGTGAAAAAAAAGATAAAATCAGATTTAAATTTTGACATATTCTTGAATTTTGGAAAATACACAATGCTTAAGATAATTATATCATATATAGTACACAATATATTTTATAGGCACGTTGGTTTCAGACTTTTTCTTTATCAGCTGATAGATCTTAAGTTCAGCTGTTTACAGAAATTTCAGAAAGAACAATTTATGAACACAATTTTTCATACCTCAATTACTAAATGCCACTTAAGGAAGAAAGAACAATTGCTTGATCTAAGGATTTATCTTGATTCTAGATTCTTTTAGAAAAAAAGGTAGAAAACATTTAGTTATATTAGCTCTTTTGATCAAGAGACAGATATCAAAGACTCCATCTACCAATAAAGATCATGTTAAAATCTTACCCGAGCTATAAAGTCTAACAAGGTAGCTGTAATAGCAGGATGTGGTCTCATAGAATGATACATAACTAAAATAGCTGGCTCTATATTCATTATACTGTCCTTTTCTGGCTCAAAAAAATACCAGTCATAAAACAACGCTAACTTGGCTATAGATAAGGCTACAGGAGACTGGAAAATAGAAAATAAATTCAATATCATTTTAATATTTATAAGGAATCTTTCTGCCAAAAAACTATGAAAAACTTTTTGTAAAGTAAATCAAGACAGATTAAGGTACATAAGAAAGGTACATCAGAGAAGGTCATTTCATTCTTTACAATTCAAATACAAGAAGAAGCAAATGAATTAGAATGGACTTATGAAGATGAAACAGTTTAGAAAGATCCTGGACTTGACTCTGCTTACCGTACAAGTGGTTAATAACCAGCCAATCACAGCCCAGCGTGGAATGATATCTGAACATAATAATTCATTACTAGGGTGAAACACAGCACAGATATATCTTATTAAATCACATCTTAATGTCTGACTCTCGGGTGTTGATAAATACTGAAAATGAATTAGAGACAGAGAATCAAGAGAATGACCAAATAAATGTACATCATTTATAAATTCATTTGTATAATCTTTTGTGGACAGACTGTAGATCAATCAGCTAGAGTATTGGAATGTTGATGTCATTTTATTGTTTACACACATAATTAGTGGCCCTAAAGTCTAATCTCAACTAGCATGTAAAAGTGATTCTAGAGCATTTACCAAGGAATTTGTAATAGATCAATAAACAGACTCCGATGTGAACAACATAAATCCACAAGAAGTGAGCTATAAAATAATAACTATACCTGACGTTGAAACCAATCTTGATATCTCTTCTGTTGACCAAACTTCACCTACAATTTAAACAATATTTAACTGTTGAACTTATGCTAACATTAACACAAACAAATTTTATCTCCCATTACTGAACTCTTATGTTTGGGAGTCAGTAGGAATGCAATGTGTTAGCCATTTCGACTTCAGCTTGTACAGTGTGTGATGAATGAATTCTGAATTTTTCAAACGTCAACAGGAAATGAAATTGAGTTTTATTTCCAACTTCTCTGATCATTTGGGTTGGGAAAATTTTGCCAAAAAGGCATTGGCCTACTCTTTTACAACTTTCAACCAGGGAAATAACGAGGAGAATGAAAATAAATAATAAATACCTTTGTAATAAGAAAAACAAGTTTATTTTCCATATCAGGAGTCAATCTACTAACTAAATATTTTCTAGAGGTACGAATTTGAAACAGCTGGAGTAAACCTAAAAACAAAAGATATTTTAAACAAAATATTTCCAGGCATAAATACATACAAAACTTTGTATGGTTTTTACATGGAAATAACACACACGAAAGACTGAACAGCCACAGCCATTTTGAATCTCTTCTTGGACTTAATAAGTCGAGCTTTGAAAAGAATATGCCCTAAAATCACATTTAAAGTTTTAGAAATGTTTTTTTATCACTGACTCACCAGTAAATTGAGGACTAATGGCAGTAGGATTTTTCATCAAATCAAACCAGAGTTTTTCAAATTCAGGTATTCTAGAAACATTCTGTAATAATCTGACTAAATCTCTTCCTATCACCATACACTCTACAAACTGTAATACAACAATCAATATGATAAAACATTGCCCAGGGAAATAAAACAAAATAAAATGAATGGAGTTTTACATCCTACTTTTCTACACCATGTGGGTGAATGAAGAAGGGCAATGATGTGTCAAGGATTTGCTGTTCTTTTTAACTGACCGCCATTACGTTACTTTGTTTATGTTGTCATGTTTCAGTCTAACAATAAATCTATTCGAGACACCACGTTTTTCTATCTTACGAAGTTCTAACCACAACCCATACTACAAACCATGCAGGGTACAATGAGGGAAATTTTGCATTAGCCTGCTACTTTTTTGATTTATAATTGTCGAGGGGTATATAACAAGGTGCATAACAAAACCATGTGTGTTCTGCGCCCAAGAGACCCTTTCATCATCACAGATTATCAACTTACAATCCACATTATACCAACCAAATTTCCTATAAGTATTGTACCGATTCAGAACGATTTGCTTTGGCAAATATACAGTTGATTAAAACACATTGCCTAGGGGAATCTACCAAAGTACCTCCTAATAAAACTAAATCTAATGTACTAATACATCTGAACAATTTCATGTCTTGTTGATATTGATATATATGGATCACCCAAGACTATCCTCAGACAAACAAATGTCTAGATAAACTATTTTAAATTTAACTGACCTTTTCCCTGAGTAATAATATACATAGATCTGTTTCTTTCTGTCTAACAGTGGCTAGTGACGGTAGGTTGTGGTCTATCATTACACGTAGAAAGGTATAAACAACTGATGGTATCAAACCTGTCTGTTTCTCTAACCATGATCTGCCAATGAAAAGTATAATAGAAGTCTTTGTTTTCAGAACATCCTAGCTATATAGCCTGTTTCAGTGCTAGAGAACCTTAAAGCATTTCATTCATATTAATTTATAACATCATACGTTACATTTTCGAAACCTTTTACTAGGTTTTTTTTTAAAATAAGTGATAAATCTACACAGTCAGAGAAATTGGCTAACATCAAAAGAACAGGACTGAGGTAAAAAATACTAGTTAGATTTCAGAGAGACAAAAAATATCAGATCAAATAACAAAATTGTGAGGAAATCAGAATTAAATATATAAGTACACTATTATAGATATACTACTCCTTTTTTTTAAATTTCTGCAACGTTTCAATTCACATACAGAAATCTTTATCAAGCACAAAATAATAATGATAGAAGAAAACAGAACAACAAGTATAGACAGTAAAACTGACATCTATATAAAATCAAACTTTTTACTTACTTATTTTCATAAAACATGTCAACTGTACTTTCACATAAATATACATTTTTAGTCGAGATATCACCTCCTGTAAATATCAAAATAATTTATTACTAAAGGAATACTACCATGTATTCATCAATTAAAAAACTTAAAAATCTTCAGTCCACTGCACTGATGAATATATACCTTTATTAGCCAAATCTGAGAATTCAAATTATAAGTTCTTTTTAAGAGGCAGTATCCCTTTACAAGTATATAGTTATCTTAATAAATGCTTTACTAGCTGATAAAACTCACTTTTACAAAAGCTATTCTAATATTCAAGGAGAAGGGAGTGAACTCTGTATCTTATTGTCTCAAAGCTTTCCAAATCGACCTTGGCCATCATCTCATGCTGCAGACAAATAAAATCTAGAACAGCTAGTATTTCAAATGAAGCTTAAAGTTGTATGAGAAGTGTTAGCTCCTTCTCGAATATACAAACTCACCTGAAATTTGTCGTAATAATATAAAACAAACACTATCTGCTCCTGGTACGTTATTTTTTATTAATTCTCGTATTAACCACAATATCTACAATATATATCATACATTATCTACAATATATATCATACAATATTTACAATATATATCATACAATATCTACAATATATATCATACATTATCTACAATATATATCATACAGTATCTACAATATATATCATACAATATCTATCATACAATATCTACAATATATATCATACATTATCTACAATATATATCATACATTATCTACAATATATATCATACAGTATCTACAATATATATCATACAATATCTATCATACAATATCTACAATATATATCATACATTATCTACAATATATATCATACAATATATATCATACAATATCTACAATATATATCATACAATATCTACAATATATATCATACAATATCTACAATATATATCATACAATATCTACAATATATATCATACAATATCTACAATATAATATATCATACAATATCTACAATATATATCATACATTATCTACAATATATATCATACCATATCTACAATATATATCATACATTATCTACAATATATATCATACAATATCTACAATATATATCATACAATATCTACAATATATATCATACAATATCTACAATATATATCATACAATATCTACAATATATATCATACATTATCTACAATATATATCATACAATATATATCATACAATATCTACAATATATATCATACAATATCTACAATATATATCATACAATACCTACAATATAATATATCATACAATATCTACAATATATATCATACATTATCTACAATATATATATCATACATTATCTACAATATATATCATACAATATCTACAATATATATCATATATTATCTATAATATATATCATACAATATCTACAATATATATATTTCTAGTTATAATCCAGTAAGCGAGAGCAAAAGACAGGTCAGGGTAAAATTTCTGCAGGGATTGTGATGTTACTTGAGATGTCGTTGTCAGTGATGAAAAACTATCTAGTAGCTCAACCAAACGTCAATGTTTTACAGACTGTGTGAAAATCAAAAGTAGATTTATGTGTATATACTGACAAATGTTATCTAATACTTGGAAAAGGTAGGCTAATATCATTGCTCACATGTGGTTGCCTATTTTCAAAGAATACCCATCAAGGTTTGGTCATATCAAATGTTGTAAAATATCATATACATAATAAATAATATAAGACTTGATACAATTGAAGATTGGCAACATTTCTACAGCGATAATTCTTCAACAAGTAAATTAATCAAATCAAAGGTTTACCTGTGTTCGAACACTATCAGCTAAACGTAGCCATTTCTCATATATAATAGTATTAGTTTTTAATAAGACAATATTTAAACCATCTCGACTAGTTAGGGTCATATCTCTATAACACTGAAATATACAATAAAGTAAATTACAAACTAACGTCAATTTACTATTAGATAGAGACCTTCGTAAGCACAACAACAACCAATCTAATTCAAATGAGATTACAAGAACAAGTACGTTTTTTATTTTCTCAATGTTTTTCATCCCCATTGTAATCTAATAAGCTTTCTACCACAGTCCTGTTCTGGTGATCTTTATTTTCAAGCAATCAAAGCATGTATTGCAGGACCCATTTCTTGCTTACGACAAATTGTGGAAAAGTGTAACACCCAAGGGCTGTCGTATTTCTCTTCTACAAGTTTTTCTATCAGACAATTTGTCCTTCATTTCACCTGATGACAATGTAAATTGTTGAAACATTGTGTACATTAAAACTAAGGAGTAGTATGCCATAAAATTGTGTTCCGTTATTGAATTTGTACCAGTACAAATACCAGTACAAATATCATCTATATAACCTAGAGATTCAAAGGTCCTTGGTCTTTTCTACAAAGACCATAAATAGGATGCTAAATTGATGAAATAAGATGTATACATACCTTTACTGCTGTTTTACTGTCAACCAGAATGGAGAACAACAAACCAAGCTGAACTTCCTCATGTTGACCAGCTCCTTTTGATATCTATAATAAACATAAATATCCTATCAATCCAATCACATGGTTACATTTACAATCCATAATACAAGGAAGATGACTATTGCAGTCAAGGTATAAGACACAGTTTAAAAAGCTTGACAGATGATTAGATACTCACTATGGTCTCCAGGAATTTATAGCATTTAAGTTTAATTAAAAATACCCATTGTTAATGAAATGAAATTGAGTTTTACATCCTAATGTTCTGTAGCATTAATGAAATGTGATTTACATTAGGCTACTGTGCCCAAAAGGGCTAACAATAAGGAGTACTGTGCTCAAAAGGGCTAACAATAAGGAGCATATAACATCACTGTTATTTACTGAACGAATGGGGTTCTTGCAAGTTTTTAAATGGACAAGTCCTGTAATGCCGTGTGCAATAGTAAGGGAACAGTAAGTATTTAAAAACTTACATAAGCATTCAAGGCATCATTTGCCTCCCTTTCTGACAATCCATTTAATAAATTGGTAACACATTTATAACATTTGTCTAATTTCTGAAAAAAATAGAAGAAAATATATATTTATCATTTTTGCTCTGTTTTGAATAGACTTGGCAAGCACAATGGAACTAACTTATATTTCAACACCTACAAGTTGAACGCCAGCTAGTGAAATCGTGAATGAAAATACCTCATTATTAAGAAAAGTTGTAATATGGCAAGCAACTTGTATGTGGGGAATTAGCCTAGTTACATTATATACCAAAATATGAAAGAAAACACATATTGACACCTATCTTTCTGTGATGCCACCTTTGACTTTAAACACTACAAACTAATACAAGTATGGTGCTTGAACAATCCCCTGGCCACTTGGAACGCAAAAGCCTAATATTCAGGATTAGTAATACATTAACTAGGTTCAGTCAAAAGTAATTTGAAGTGAAGGAAGGAAGAGACTCAGGCAGGCTATGAGCCAAATGGTTTTCATCAACTACCACCTGTTGTAAGTGTTCCCCTGGTGTAAATGTTTTTGGCTTTTTTTCCTTAAAATTTGATGGATGACAACGGCATCAAGGACACATTCATGGCTCCCTCTAACAATTTGTTGTTAATGATTTTGATGAGTAAATGATCATGGTGTTTGGTAATCAATGTGTATTTTGGTAGTCAGCTACAAAGATCTAGATATTTTACTTTGGAAGTTTTTTCTTCGTGTAATAAATAAATTTCTGCTGTGCCTACCTCTTCAAGTTCATCCCTGGTTTCCAAAACACTGAGGGAACTCAGTCGAGAAGGAGCATGCTTCTTTATGCCACTCTCAGGTTTTGCCATATTCGATGTCAAAGTCAAATTATCACAAATTTATCAGAATTCAAACAATCACATTCTTGTATTTTTTTGTTCAATACTGTCACTCGAGAACCAAATCATTCAAGTGTATACCAGTTGCTAAGATGTCGCATTGTAGCAGACGAAGGCATCAAATTACCAAATGTCAACAATGACAACCACTGATGTCTGTTTCAAAAAAACAATTCCAGCTCAGCTGATTTCGAACAACAAAACAAAATGTAGACTAAATTGGAGTGTTTATACTCTAAAATTGTCACACACGAACTATATATGGCAATCCAGAGACTGTTGTTTTTCATTAAACTATTTTTAATTAGGATCCTAATTAATCAAGAAGATTTTTGTGTGTTTTTCTCCCTCTTTATTTTGATCCACACTGAACGAGAGTCTTCAACAGACTGAGCTCTTCAGCATGGATTTACCAAAAGTAAGTCTTGGGTCAATTTGACATTTTGCTTAGTTTTTCAAATTGCTTGAAAAGGTCTTAAATGTAAAACTTCAGCCTATGCCACGTGATTTTTTAAAACTTATAGCACTGTACAGTAAAAAAACTGATTTTATTTCAATATTAGAAGCCAAATCTTCATTTTTATTTCTTGTTTTTATTTTTACGACAACCATAAATACTAAAACCTTTAAAAAATTACAAATTCTTAAAAACACAGGAAACGAAAAATTAATTTTGAGGGAAATAACTATGTAGTCCGAAACGTCATTATGTTCTGATGTAACTAAAATTCTAAATTTGACATCAGAACATTCTTAAATCTCTTGGAAGCCACTAATGGGTATTCGTCATATCTATTAGTCCTAGTGATAGTGTAAGATTTCTGAATGATTACACTCTTTTTCCATGGCATTGATTAATTTAGACCTAAATTGACCAGGCCTAGTATCTTCAACCTTATACTTATGACAGGGACGAGGCCTTAAGCTTTATATATTACCTTTTTATCCAAATTATTGACTTGTTACAGTTTTGTCAGACTTGTTACAGTTTTAACTAAATTTGTGTTACCTATAATCTGGTTAATATGTTACCGTTTCGACTGTTCGTTTCCGTTTGGTTTGATTCTGTTTTAATCATGATACCGATTGATTCAATGTTTTTTGAATTGATAAGATAATACGGTTAAGAAAAAAGCTTGTTTTTACTTTGAGTACAAAGTTTCAATTGAAGGCAAAATGCATTTGTATCTCTTTTGAAATGTTATCAGTTTTGCGCACTCATTGAAATTCTTTCTAGAGTTAATATCATTTTTTATATCATTACACAGGAAAGTTATTATTGATTAAGATCATACAAATTGTACAGAGTTTTGGACTACAATTAAATCTTTCGTTTTTTGTTTAGAAATAATTTTGGTCCTAAATTTGAGTTGAAGGCTACACGTGTGTTTCATCATAAAATTTGTGTTGACAAATCGTGTTAATTTATCAAGTTTGACTGGCCGACGTCTTTTGGTGATCGAGTCATAAAATATACAGTAGCCAACCCATCCAGAGGTGGACAAGATGGCAGATATAGCTAAAGAAGCAGAAAAACTTTCTTTGAGTAAGTTTTGTGGGGTTTGTTTTTGTTTTGATTGAATCTGTCTGGACCGGTCAAGGTGTGGCTTTATGTTGTTTTCTCTGGAAAAGTTTATTTATAATACGTAACTCATGTGTATCGACAGGTCTATTATTATTGTGATTGGTGAGCCTACCATATGTTTGTTTGTAGATCTAGTTCATTGACATTACCTGGTCCCTATTACCTGATAATGCATTTTGATTGTCATTATCAACAATAAAATTGCTTATAAATAAGAACTATATGCATGTAGATATGAGAATAAAACACATACAGGTAAGCCTAAATAATTATACAAACCTAAAGCTAAAAGACAATAGTAGACCTAATTTCGTGCTAACCTAACCTAACCTAATTAACAGGAAATAATTGCTTAGCTAGGTCAAGGTGTACAGCGAGTTTCATCTTGTTCTTGATGATGAAATATTTTGAAATTTATATGAATCAACTGCGAACTCAATTTATCCATTGCCCTTCTATTGGTCAAGCAAGCATTGTTTTTAACTCATTTGAATGATGCAACCTCTTAATTCATAGTTATTTTTGTCCAAGTATAGACTCTTTGAACTTCATTTCCTTAGTATTTCATCACCAACTTCACCAACAGTATAAAATACAGTTGTTATTTATTGTTTTCACTAATCATAAAAAATTGTTGTTGTTCTGTCAATTAGTATTCTGTTTCGTGAAGTTTACTTCGAGGAAATTATATTTATGATTCAGTACTGTGCTACTGTAGGAATAGATGGAATATTTTTTAAACAAAATAATTAAATCTCTATCATCTAATAGTCTAATGGATTCTCAGGAAAAAGAAGGTACCGGTATAGTTTTTTTAAGATTTTGGTTGATGAATTAAGTCAGTCTAATTAAAATGTCAAAAATAAAAGCTACCGTAATAAAAACAGAATGAAATGTTTGGTCTAATTTTAATTCGACTGTACACATGCAGTTTACGCCAGAGGGGGCACGAAATATCTGAGATTATTCGAATTTCTAACCTAGTTATGAGATTTTTGCCCGAAAAACATGCTTTCTTGCTTTGCGAGGCTCCGACACTGTATATATGTATTCACATTAACCTCCTCACTTAAGATATTACTGGTACCATTAATAGTTTAACATCATTGGTTATATATTTGTTAAGAAGGGATGAGATAAGAAGGTTTAAGCTATTGTAGTTATAGAATTGCAGCCAATATAGATGTCTGATTAAAATCCTAAAAAGAGAATATACAGATGGCTAAATTTAAACATTTTACAGTGGTACAGGTTACAATTATATTTTTCAATTACAGTTTTGTAGGATAGTTGTTTAAAGTTTGTCAAGAAAGAATTATATTATGTGTATATAGAATCCTCATCAAGAAATATTGATTTATTATTGTAGGAGAGATTTATACCTCAGAAAAACATGGTGATGATAAAACAGGAGACGGTAGTAAAGCTACACCGTATAAAACAGTTCTACAGGCCATGAGACATGCTGGGAAAGAACCATTTCCACCTATTTATGTTGATGGGAAAGAAGAAAATGTGGTAGGTATTCTTATTTTTAGCAATGTATCTCAACATTGTCTATATACATCATTTAGTTCTTAAGAATCCTAAGTTTACGTAATAATTAGTTAGACAGACCCTTTTGTCTTCAGAACCCAAGTAAAATTTAGTCTTATTCCACTTGTATGTTATATGTATATTCATGTACTGGTATACTGTTTTTTTCTAATACCATTAAAAGGACTTGCCTAACTGGGAGTGTTCATTAGAGACAGTTCTAAAAATGTTTTTTAATTTTCCTCCAGAGGTTTCCCTGTCTAAATTGATGATCTGCAATTTATAACTGTACTGATGATAGTTTTAACATTTAACATTAAATTTCAGAAATTTGAATTGGTCTCAAAATCACAGGTGAAGAAAATCCAGAAAATATGGGAAAGAGAAAACTATAAAGCTGCTGAAAAAGCTCAAAAAGAGGTTGGTATATTTACTTCAATTGATGACGATGACTAAATAGCAAAATATTATTTTCAATGTCATTTTGTCAGTCGCCAGATATTTATTATCTGACCATGCAATCACAGCTGTTTTGAGGAGCATCATGCTATTTCTTACGTTGGATGTTTTTATAAAGAATATAATTGATGTGTATAGACTTGAAATCTTGGATGTTCTGTACCACTATGATATGGCTAAAGTGACACTGCCTATCTCAGTTAATACTCTAGTTGAATTTTGTTTTCCCTGTTTTAATTTAAGGCTGAAGATTTAGAAAGGAGATTAAAAAACTTAGAAGAAGCGAAATCAGTGGTAGTTGAAATAGATCCAAGTTTACCACAGCCAAAACAGGTAAAATAACAATAAATTTTACTTTCTTTATTATTTCAATAGTTAACTCTGCTCATCCATTGATCTAGTCATCTAGTCCACTATGCATCATTAACATAGATAATCCTCAGCATCTCTTTCAGAGAGTCCACATAGCTATAACTCTTTCAAATAGTTAGAATGCATTACCATGTTATTTGGTATCATTGTGCATTCCTTGCAGAGAGTCCACATAGCTGATACTGTTTATTTAATATATGAGTTTTATCAACTTAACATCTTTATCAGAGTCCACATAGCTCATATTTTTCATTTGATATTTAGGTTTGTCAACTCTGCAGAGGGTCCACATAATCTCTGTATGGTAATTGGGTTTTCTCGACATTCCTTTTTGAGAGTCCACATGTCAATTTTTGGATTGCCCACAGTGTATAATATATAATATTGTTTCAGATTAAAATAAGAGAGACCATACCAAACCGTAATATTCGTGTAAAAATATTTGGCTGGGTCCACAGACTTCGTCGTCAAGGTAATTTATTTTCATTTATTTTCTCAATTACACAAATCATTTTTACAGAGGGGAATTTTCAGTCTGAAATGTTGGTCTTTTTCACTGGAAATATCTGGGATGAAATGTGATTATTCCAAATTTAAAATTATCAAACCTTATATACTAATGGGCCTTTAAACAATCTATAATAAATGATATGATGTTCCATTTTCAGTATTGTGAAAAAGAAAAAAATAATTCTGAGTTCTGATTGTGGTACTGTCATAGCCCAAGAACTCTACAAAATAAAAATGAATCGCTGTATATATCCAACTCATCGTTTAAAGTAATGATTGTTATATTTGTAGGTAAAAATTTGATGTTTGTTGTATTAAGAGATGGTACTGGTTTTGTACAATGTGTTGTTTCTGATAAACTGGTAAGATTTATTTATATCTTCTCATTCTTACAGAACTAACACGGCACAGGTTTCTCTTTCATAGACACTTTTCGCTTACCTGAAGCTCCAGGGTTCAATCCAGACATAGGTCAAGATAGTACCAATGGTATTTTCAATCTAATTTCCAGGTGCCAGTGATGCAGGTTGGATGCATCACTCAGATGAATGCGACATTAAACAAGATCCTTTGACATATGGAAATCAAAAGTAGACTAATTCTGCTGTCCTAACAAAATTCTCTCATTGCACACTGCGTGGCTTTGGTCTTCTTCATTCTTATCAGATGTAGAAAAGTAGGACTAAAAACTCAATTGATTTAATTTTATTTTCAATTAATTTTCAGTGTCAAACATACAATGCTCTCACTCTGTCTACTGAAGCTACTATTTGTGTCTATGGAATAATCAAAGAACTACCAGAGGGAAAATCTGTAAGTTGTCTCTCTTGTGTTTTGTGATATGGGCATAAATTGACATAAATATTTCTGGGGGCTTAGCTCAGATCGAAATTGGAACTGACAGAATCTGAAAGGGACTGTTAATAATTGGAAGGCTCTGATAAAATCTTAAAATTGAAAAAAAAAAATGTTAGTTTCCATTGTTGTTTCAAGCAAAAATGCTGCACACAGAATCTGCAACTATCTAGTTGCCTGTGGCAGTTAATGGTGGTCATTCAATTTCTTAATAAGAACGTATCACTCAGGTTTGATGAGAACTGAATCTACCCTTATTTGCGAGAATCTAGGGATTCTAAAGGATTAAATTCTTGTATCTATTATTTTTATCATTCATTAAAGGATAAGGATTAAACCCTTGTATCTATTATTTTTATCATTCATTAATTTTAGGCGCCAGATAACCATGAGCTTTCTGTAGATTATTGGGAGTTGGTATCTAGTTCACCACCAGGGGGTGCTGATAACCTGCTCAACGAAGACGCTAACGTAGATGTTCAGTTAGATAACAGACATATTATGATAAGAGGTGAAAACGTAAGTAGAAGTTTAATGACTGTTGAAACAGACTTAGAAGATTATTTCTACAGTCTAACCCTGTGACACTAGAAGCCCACTGTTTATTTAGAGAGGGGAAACGGTTTCTTAAATGTTTGTAGTGATGTTCAATTATTTAAACAATGGAAATAGGTTTTTTTTAATTTGATTATTGTTAATCATTACCCATAATGTTACTATAGGATTACCGATGAATAATGATTGAATTCAGTTGATGGTCTAGAGAGGTATATTAACTACAGATTAGCCACATTAAGACCTGATTCCCATGCTGTATTGCAGTCTCTGAGTCCAGGGATTCAAAAGATATACCATAAAATAATTTTGTACCCATATTTGTGTCTTTATTCATTTCAGACTTCTAAAGTTTTAAAAATGAGATCAGTTTTAATGCAATCTTTCCGAGAACATTTTGTTAGTCGAGGATATTTCGAAGTTACTCCCCCTACACTGGTACAGACTCAAGTAGAAGGAGGATCTACCTTGTTTAAATTTGATTATTTTGGTGAAATGGTAAGTTTTTTTTCTCTAGGAATATATAGCAGCCATTTTTTACAAGAAATACAACTTATGTTCTTGATTTTGTTTACTGGCTGGTCCTTTGTAAAACTTTTTGGCATTGATCTTTCCTAGATTATCCATATCCATTTACAGCTGGATTTATTTTTACAGTTACAGGGTTCGTTTGTACCTTAAAATAAGATTAATAGGAGATGTGAAGCTTATTGGAGACGGACTGTAGCGCAATAGGATAGAGTATTAGAATCTTGAGGTCATTTGCTTCTTTACATCGAACTATGATGATTGCTGGATCTAATTTATGTTATTGTGATTTCAGGCCTACCTAACCCAGAGTTCTCAGTTATATTTAGAAACCTGTCTACCAGCTATGGGTGATGTATTCTGTATTGCCCAATCTTACAGAGCAGAAAAATCTCGAACCAGAAGACACTTGGCTGAGTAAGTTTACTAATTTCTTCACAATGTCAAGCTATTACGATATGCTTCTTATAAATTGACTGCAATACACACCTTCATGTATGTATACAGAAGTTTGTAAATGCACCGATTTGATTGGATTGTACGTCGGGGATTACAGCCAATCAGAGAGACAAGAAAAGCTATTGACATTGTGAAGATGGTATTTGCCAGTCATGTCAATAAATTTACAGATTGTTCTTCTGTTTATCTAACCATCACTGATAGGATAATGAATTAATGCACTAACATGAGCTGTATATTGTTAATGGTGTACATGTAATTGATTGACAGGTAATGGTCAATGGAAGTGATAACTTCAGGGCATCTTTATAGTTTAAGAAGAGAAAACTTTGGATTTTTATCAGAACACTTAAAAGATGGATCAATATATACTATATAATACCATACAATACAATATAAGAATGTCATCACTTCAATTATGATGTAAATTGTCGCTTTATATAAGTTATTTCCAACAATAAAATTCTACCCTCCTACCTCCCTTTTTATAACATTCATGCAATACAATGAATTGTCTATATTTTTCAGATATTCTCATGTAGAAGCTGAATGTCCCTTTATAGATTTCAATGGTTTATTAGAGAGACTAGAAGATCTAGTCTGTGATGTAGTAGACAGAGTTCTCAAGTCTCCTTTTGCTCATATTGTTAAAGAACTTAACCCTGTAAGTAACCTTGAAATTATTCATTTAAAAATTAGGAATCCTATTCTTAAAAACTAGTACATTGTATTAGATAAAATCTAAATTTTGGGGAATGCTGAGCTCTTGATGGCTTACAAAGATAGATTTAAAATCTATTTTAGTGATCGACCAATCAGATTAAGAGAATTTTAAGTCTTTATGAATTGGCCTTGATTGAAATGCAGATACACACGATCTTATAACAATTTCCACATTTATTCTCCCATTTAGGATTTCCAACCACCTAAACGACCCTTTAAAAGAATGGACTATGCTGAAGCTATAGAATATCTTAAAGCTAATGATATCAGGAAAGAGGATGGAACATTCTATGAATTCGGAGAGGTAAGCTGGGTTATTTCTGATAAATGGGAATGAAATGAACAATAAAATTTGTTATGTGGACTATGCGAAACGATTTTTAGATGACAATCTTTCTGACAGATCCTCAGGTTACATACTTAGTAGCAAAGTAATGTCAGGTTTAAGCAAAGTATGGGCTTGTCTTGGGGACTACAATTTATAAAAGAATAGTACGTGAACACTCTGTTCTCGGATACTGTTAGACTAGGAGTTCAGTCAACTTGCATAGGACATAACCTTTTTGAAATTCCATGTCACATTTGGATAATTGGTTGAATTTTCTTATACCCAAAAAACAGTAGATGTTAGATTTATTACAGGGTATAAATTAATGTCTTTATCATTTTTTAGGATATCCCAGAAGCTCCTGAGAGAAAAATGACTGATAAAATTAATGAGCCTATATTTTTATGTCGTTTCCCAGCTGAAATTAAATCATTTTATATGCAGAGATGTGCTGAAGATAGACGACTCACTGAATCAGTAAGTATCGGAAAAATTGACATAATCCAGTAATATGATAATACGAAGAACTCCAATATTTTATGAGATGGTCAACATACGTTATGAAATAAATTGTTAATCTAAAAACTAAACTTTAGTTTCAACATCTATAGTTATGGCGTTAATATTTCCCAAATCATTTCACCTCATGAAGTTGGTATCGACAACGACAAAAGCTTGTAGAATAAAATATTTAAGTCACTCTTAAAAGGTATAACCTTACATGTCTGTATTATATCAAACTTAATTGTTTATTTTCTTCCTAAATTTGAAGATTTATAATAAATTTTGATTGTGACATATTCTTTGTTCTAGCTCTATATTATAAATTATATATGTAATATCGTAACTTCTTTAATTTGTAGTTGAGAGGCCTTCAAGGTAGTCCTTGAGATGCATTGCACCTGACAGCATTACAGCATTTTAAATGAGTAGACACCCCTAAAGATCATATTACAAGCAAAACATTTTATTCTTATAGTCAGACATGTCTGGCTAATAATCTATCTCATTCTATTGTATATAGGTTGACTTGTTGATGCCAAACGTTGGTGAAATAATCGGTGGTTCCATGAGAATTTGGCAGCATGAAGAATTGGCAGAGGGGTTCGAGAGAGAGGGAATTGATGCCTCGCCCTATTATTGGTACACAGATCAGGTAAGGCACTGGACATTTGGGGTTGGGCAGCCTTCAGAGAGGGGCCATGAATGGGTTAGGGGTATGACAAGGTCTGAAGTGAGATTTGAAGGTAGTTGGTTTAGAGTTTCTCAAGAGAGGAAATAGATGCATCAACCTAATATTGTTAAGGCACTGAGCACTATGGTAGGGTAGCTGCCAGGGAGACTGAATGGGTTAGTGTATAGGATGGTTAAGAACCTTGGCCTCCAGAGAGGGGCATAAAAGAAGTAAAGATGTAGCAGAGTTTAGAAAAGGGGCGTGGTGGTATAGGCTGAAGGCTTCGTAAGAGAAGGAATAGATTCGTTAACAGACAGGTATGACACAGTGAATAGGGATGGGTTGGGGCTATCATGTTTTATTCTTGAATCTGAGTTAAACCTGCTCAACTATGACCTAAAAACTGCTCTTATTCACATTTAACAAAATAATAAACATTATTTCATTTTATTACAGAGAAAGTATGGATCATGTCCTCATGGTGGTTATGGTTTAGGATTAGAGAGATTACTATGTTGGTTGCTCAACAGATATCATATTCGAGAAGTTTGTCTGTATCCACGTTTTGTTGAACGGTGCAGACCTTAACTTATTTCTCTTTAATTTTATTATATATATATATATTGTTCTCCAGTGCTGTCTTGTCCTGAATCAATCATGTTTCATTATCCTCTAATTTATTATGAAATACAGAGTTGCTGCCCTTGACTTTTTAATTATCAGATCGAAATATCAATGGACCTTTCTAAACATAAACAATCTACTTATAGTTTGGTCAAAAGTTTAAACACATACATTTATAGCTTCTGTGTGGCTTTTGTCATAATCTGGATAAGTTAGTGTAAAATTACAGGAACCATAGAAAAAGAATGGATGTAGAATAGATGCTATATGTTTCACTTAGACACATACAATAGCTAAAAATATATTTTTGAATTTATGCCTAAATTAGAAGCTATGTGTTTCAGATACACATACTTAGACTATATATAGAAGCTATAAGTGTCACATACAAAAACTAGAAAAGTTTCTTCGATTCCCTTCATTAAGTTTTTAGTTTGTAGGAAGGAAATCAATATCCAGTGTAAAGTTATTTTTTTGGTTAAAGATTTAATTTATGGGGAAAGGTATTTGTGGATTTCAGTCAAATTCTTACAACTAAAGTCTAGATTATGAATATTTTTATATTTTTTAATAAGGTTAAAATTATGAAAAACTTAAAACTTTTTTCGCATTCTAACTTTATTTGTTATTCTGTAATAAATCTACAGAAATTACAAAATTCTTAAAAGAAATTTTTGTCGGCTTGTTAAACAGAGCTCTATAACTTCAGAATCTTAACCTGACATCAGGTTCCTCTTCAATTAAATACAAAAGTTGAGGCCATTGTCATTTACAGGCTGCTTCTGGTATTCTCGCTTTAAGTTATTACTGAGAATTAAATGGATTGTAAAGAGGTTTTCTAAACTTTTTATCTGTGTCAGGGACACTGACAGCAACAGTTGGCCTTATTCAAATTGTCAGTCACACATCTAAAACTTAGCACAGTAGCTACAAATAATTTATAAGAACCATTGCGATGTCAGAAAACCTCTTTACTTCTTTAAGTTGTTGTCTTTGACCTTATTCTTACTGTATGAATTACGATAAATATGTTGAATTGTACATTAATATAATTGAACGGTGTTCATCTTCATAATAGAAATAAACATTTGATTTTCAAGGTTACTTGTCAGTGATGTTCAGTCGGAGGGGCTGACATTTAAGTGTCTATTCAGTTGAATGGGCCAGTTAAGAAACTGCCGTGATGCTGATATGACAGTCAACGAAACGTCGATTCATCACAGTCTCCATTAGCCTAATTAGACGAAGATAAGGATGTACGACTCCATCCAATTCATACTCCATACCTTTCTTTCATGTATTGTATCTAATCTCCAGGCCCATAGCTATAGAGGGGTAGCATTGGACCCAACCTCCCCCAACACCCCTCCCCCCTGAAAAAATACTGGCAACCGACCCATTTTATTACTGCAACTAACCACCATACACAATTGTCTCTCCGATCATTCAGGTCTGGTTACGGTCAGGCCCATTGTCATAGTCACCTGTTTTACACCTTGTCCCTGTAGATCCAGCCCAAAAGTAATAATGAATCATTGCCAATTTTTAAAAGATTTTTTAATGCAAACCAACTATTAAAAAACATAGACTAATACAATCACCGGGTTGATTTTTTCTTATGTATTTCATAGAATTTAACAGATATAGCCTTCCGAATATTTGCTTTATTGACACCGCGACGTTTCATTCATCCATTTCACATTTCAAAAAGACAATCTAGTATTTAGTTCATATAAAATTGAATCGTACTGCCGTAAGGTCCAATATTCTTCCGTGCTGCTATGAAGACGACATATTGTATGCCAGTGGCGGAGCCAAAGGGGGGGAGGGGGTTCAGCCATAAAGAAGTGAGTTATACCATAATATACCCCTTGTGTTTTTTGTTATATCTACTCTCCACTTCTAAATGTCGTTAAAATCTTATCTGAAATATTCATGTTAATGAGCACGGGTTTCAGTTGCTTAAAGGGCCAGTATGAAGTATTTTCATTATCAAAACATCGTAAATTATACCTGAAAATATAAATTCTAAAAGATGCTATATACCTCTATGTAGGCCTATCTACTTAAAAACGGAGTGTAGGCTACTATTAGCACTAAGACTAAAACTATTGAACCTCATAAAGACTCGATATTTTCAATTGAAACCTGGCGAATGTGAAGAAGAAATAAGTGCCATTATATAAGTGCCATTATTTTTGCTTAAAGGGAAAAGATTTGCCATTCAAGGAGGTTGATTTGAGTCTTGAATATATGTCAATAGTCTTCAGAGGTACTAGAAATGTACGAAAATCGCATAATTCCTTTAAAAATATTTAAAACTAGGAATTTCATTTTCTGTTTTTATAAATGTCATTTCTATATGTGGCAGAGTCACAAGAAAAGACGAGTCGTCTTATTAAATTTCTAACGCGGAGAATTCCAGTCTTATAAAAATTAGACCCAACTTTCATTTCGTTTTCTGATTAGTTTGTATTTTTAGTGTAGCCACTTTAGAGTAAGGTCTAACGACCGGACTCTTGAACATGTCAAAATAACCCTTTGACCTAATCAGCTATAACCAATCAAATTTGCGCCTTCTCCAGCGTTCGCGTTTTTATGAGAGATTGAAGGAATTTGATTGGTTCAAGCAGATCATGTCATCAGACAAGGTTGAAAGGTTAATTTGAATGTTTAAGAGTCCGGTCGTTAGACATTACTCTGAATTGGCTATACTAACTATAAAAAAAACTAATGAAAAACGAAACGAAAGTTGGGGCACACATGATTTTGAAGACGCAAATATGGACGGTGAACTGTGAACACTATTACTGATTAGCTAAACTAAAAAAATCCGTTTCTGAGACTAAGGTATGATTGATCAAACGAATGGCGAACTTTAAATACATACAATAATTTTCAACACCTACCAAATATAACACGACGAATTTAAATTTTTAAACTTTTTAAATATTTTTGGCGTAAAAAATTAACGGCGGGATTTTTTTTAGTTCAAACTTCCAGATAAGTCCAGGAACACGTATAGATCTCTCTATTTTAGTCTAATTTGAGCACCTAACTTTTCTTTCAATCTACTGATAAAAAATCAGACTGCCCCTTTCAGCAAATATTTGATCAACAATATTCCATCTAAATGTCGGGTTTTCGAGCAATGATGACATCAAAATAATTTACTCCAGCGATTCTCTTTCCTTCAATATTTTGGAAACCGTAACGTCCCAACAATTTCTGATATTCTGACAGAGTTCTCTCCCTTCCGTTGCAAACGGTGGTCATTGTGACGTCGAGAAGGATCGTAATTTCTGGTCCGATTTTGTCTTCATTCAGAAGTTTCTCGGCTACCAACAAAGTTCCCCCTGAAACGTAAGATAACCCACGTTATTTCATCAGACACTGGATGGCAATCAGAGACACCCGTAGAAAAAAAGGACCGAAACATTCGAATATCATTTTTATCCTCGGATCTCAGCCCAGTCAGCCGTTTTATGATAAGGTTTCGTTTTGAGGTTGGGATAGTCCATTATACTGGCTGTCGATATTTGATATAGTTCCAAATCAAAAGAAAGAAAGAAAGAATAATGTTGTAAAAGGATAACGATCACAAGGTACCTGGCTACCAACCAGCTGATCTTTGGCCAAATCTCATAGATCTTCTCTGACTATACGTACCCATTTACAGCTGAATCGCCTATGAGTGAAGATCACCGGACTTCACATGCCAAGATAAATCATTTGTTCGACGTAACCAGGTAATTGACCACCGTATTCCGAATACAGGTTTTAACATAGTCTTATAATATACGTAATTTGCCTCACTTTTATTACTAACCTACGTCCTCAAGGAAGTGTGACGAATGGGGTGTGGTTTAGACACGATGGCAAATGATGTGCTAAAGAACACCAAAGTAAGATAAAAAAAACATAACTTACCAGGTTTAAGAGATTGGTAGGTCTTAGTTAGTAAAATATCTAGTTTGTCTTCGTCCCAATTGTGTATTATATGACTCAACATCATCAGATCGACTTCCGGGAACTTTTTATTATCAAAAAAATCACCTAGAACAAAAAGAAAGGATATATAGTCTTTGTATGTGTATCAGAGACACTTATAGCTTCAATTTACACTATTCTCATTTTCTAGAAAGTATCAGGGACACTTATAGCTTCTGTTTACACTATTCTGATTTTCTAGCAAGTATCAAGGACATTTATAGCTTCTATTTACACCATTCTGATTTTCTAGTCTTAGTATGTCTACCAGGGACACTTATAGCTTCTATTTACACCATTCTAATATTCTAGTCTTTGTATGTGTACCAGAGAGACTTATAGCTTCTATTTACACCATTCTCATTTTCTAGTCTTTATATGTGTACCAGAGAGACTTATAGCTTCTATTTACACCATTCTCATTTTCTAGTCTTTATATGTGTACCAGAGAGACTTATAGCTGCTATTTACACCATTCTGATATCAGGGACACTTATAGCTTCTATTTACACCATTCTGATTTCTAGTCTTTGTATGTGTATCAGGGACACTTAAAGCTTCTATTTACACCATTCTAATATTCTAGTCTTTGTATGTGTATCAGGGACACTTATGGCTTCTATTTACACCATTCTGATTTCTAGTTTTTGTATGTGTATCAGGGACACTTATAGCTTCTATTTACACCATTCTAATATTCTAGTCTTTGTATGTGTATCAGGGACACTTAAAGCTTCTATTTACACCATTCTAATATTCTAGTCTTTGTATGTGTATCAGGGACACTTATGGCTTCTATTTACACCATTCTGATTTGTAGTTTTTTGTATGTGTATCAGGGAAACTTATAGCTTCTATTTACACCATTCTGATTTCTAGTTTTTGTATGTGTATCAGGGACACTTATAGCTTCTATTTACACCATTCTAATATTCTAGTCTTTGTATGTGTATCAGGGATACTTATATCTTCTATTTACACCATTCTGATTTTCTACTCTTAGTATGTCTACCAGGGACACTTAAAGCTTCTATTTACACCATTCTGATTTGTCTTTGTAAGTTTATCAGGGGCAATTATAGTTATAGGTATTAAAATAATCCTATTATCGTCTTTAAGTCTTTCACCGCAACGCTTTCTGCCTAAGACAACACACCCCCACCACCATCACCATTTTGTAGATATCCATCCATCTTTTCCACCCTGAGTACAAACTTATACTCACCTTCAATAAATTCTACTTTCGATTTCGTATGTGCGGGCTGATACTTTTTAGCAAGCTGAATGGTGTGTGGTCGGTCTAGAACTATAGCCTTTAGCTGGGGGTAGGTTTTAATAAATTCAAACGCCAAATAACCAGAGTTACCTGCGAAGACAACAAACCTATATAATGTTCATTTCAAGGGTTTGTGAAAAGGTTTTCTCAACTTTTTATATTATGTTATGTAACATTCCAATGTTCAGTGAGATGGCAATTCCAAAATGAAACCTATAATTTGAAAACCAAATCTGTATGCCAAATAAAAGAATTTGTCTTCTCAATCCCATCAAATGGTTACGAATTTCTTACCACCAAGATCCAAAAGTGTTTTATGGCCGGCAACATCAAAAGCAACTGTGATAGCGTGCACTGCTGGCCGCAACAATGAATCCATTTGTACCATGAATGAGTGTGCGCTCGAATCAGTTTTATTCGTTTTTTTCCTCTCCGCTACTGGATTCTGATTTTGATCTGTTTTGATTTCTTGCTGAAAAAAATTGGAATAAAGAACAGATTTGCATGTGACGATTTGTATGTTTGGAGGGGAAAGTAATATATCTGGAGGTGCAATGGTGTATGGTGTGTGGTTGCAGTATTGGGATTATTCGGATTTCAGAATTTTGGGGGTAGGGAAATCCATTTTTTCAAGTGGGCAATACAATAAGGATGGGGTGAAGCGAGCAAGAAGGAAGGAAGGAGGCCAAGCTAGCGAGCAAGAAGGAAGCAAACAAATCCAAATCCAAGGAGGAAAGCAAAGTCAGAAAGCGAGCACGAACGGAAAGATGAAAGCAAGTAGGGAGAGAGAAAAAAAGCAAGCAAACAAGCACGGAAGAGAGTGCATGCATGAAATCAAGCAATAAGGCAGTCCGAAACACCTGCCTCTATTCCAGCCTCTGGTGAATATTTTGACAGTTGTCGACTGGAATAGAGTCCGAAAAATTTACGTTTATCTTACATAATATTAAATTACCTTTACGATGACTGTTTATTGATGTTGGGTATCAACATAACTTTTGTTTTGTGACCTTTGAACTTTTGGCTGCGCACGCAGTTCTAAATGGCCGAAGCGAGATTAGTTTCATTAAAAAAAATTGGTGTAACCGGAGAGTGACTACAAAAACATTCATCTTTCCAAATATAGGTTTCAAACCGCCGCACCTACGGAGATGCAGAATGACCCCATTTTACAGGGCCTATTTTTACTGTCTCTACACTAGCCAGACATCTGTCCAAATAGCTATAAGAGGCTGGAATAGAGACAGATGTTTCGTTCTGGCAAGAAGAAAGCATGAGCACGAGAGAAAGAAGAACGTCAGCAGGGAAAGCAGGGAACTAAACAAGGACTGCAAGAAGGAATCCAACATGGAAGCAAGGAAGAATTAAAGTATGAAGGAAGCAAGAAGAAAGCAAGGAAGCAACCAATAAGGATAAAAGCATGCAACACAGTATATAAATCATAAGGTTGGCCGATAGAGGAAAACAGAATATCCAAGGGAGGGCTATCGGCCAATAGCGCAAAGTATGTAAGACGTCAATGCTTTGACATTTAAATTTCTTCGGAAGGGGGATGTCAGCAAGCAAGAAGAAATTAAGGAAGGGCGTAGCAAGACGGAAGAACGAAACAAGCAAGGACGGGAAAAAGGTAGGAAGAAACGTGCCTCACCCTTTCAAGTTTTGAATTAGTGAAATCCCTTCCGTCTTCAGAACCATCTAATAGACGTTCATAGACAGTATTGTTTGATCCTATAATATCAGAAAATAGAGCTTTCCTTCATATTGGGCTGCTTCGGTTTTAACTAACAGGAAAATTGTGGCGATGATGGTGCATATCTGCCACCTTTGGTCTAAATATGATGCTTCTCTACCACCTTTGGTCTAAATATGATACTTCTTTGGCATCTATGGGCGAAATATATAATGCTTCTCCGACAATTTAGTGCTTTTTGTGTTTGTTTTCTCATGCTGCTTTTTTAGCACTCCTGTGCTAGGCTCTATGCTGTCCATTGGTCGAGCATCAAGATCAGACCACGAATACCAATCAATAGGCTTAAGGTTATAATCGTCCTCTTGATAAAGGTTCAATGATTACGATTAGCTAACGACTCCTTAACCGAAGATCAATCGGTTAACACTAACACTTTGCAACAGATTCAGCTTTACGGAAACTGCTGAGGATTGCCGAATGACCCAAGCTGCTTCCAACGTACCTTGCTTTATAACTGTGTCCAATTTATCTACAAACTGGCTCAAGAGTCGGATACCGAGCAAAGTGCTGTTTAAACAAGGTTGATCAGATTTTAACAGATATTTTTGAACTGTCTTACTGTTACTGTATTCTGGCTCATCTGTAATAAATACACCAAATAAATTGTACATGGATATTGAAGTGAGGGCATTTACGTTCCAAGGAGTGGGCAATGTGGTTGGCATAGTCTCACAAGAAAGGGGCCGGGCCGGTCCCCCCCCCCTCCCCAACCACTGTAAAATTTCTCTTAATTTTACCTAGAAAAATATTACCTGTGACCCCTACTCGATCCCCTCATATAATAATTCATATCAAAGAAATTTTAGAAAATCGCAAAATTACTTCAAACTAGGTATTTTACGCACTATTCCTAAATATGTTTCTTTTATACATCACAGAGTATCTTAAAAAGACGAGTCGTCATTATAACATTCAAACACGGATAATTCTCAACACACATGAATTTGAAGGCTCAAATTTCGACGGTGAGCTATGAACACTATTACTGATTGGCTTAGCCAGAAAATTCCCGTTTCTGAGACTAAAGTATGATTGGTCAAATAAAATGGCGCATCTATCCCTTTAAGGGATAGAGATTTGGTCTGATGGAGCGAAGTCTGGTCAAAAAGGGATAGGATCGAACTCATCCGCCAAAAGGTAAAACAAATAACTTGCCTTGACTGTTACTTTTGTTCAAGAGTCCATAACAAACCAAAGCATCTAATATTCTTTCTGTAACTTCCGGTTTATATCCATAGTTATTAGCAAAGCCTACGGCAGTGACTTTCTTATTCAGAACTTCTATTTTATCAAAAATGCCCAATTCTATAGCTTGACATACTAACTAAAATAAGAAAGAAAACCAAAAAACATACAACAACAAAAAAAAAAAAAAAAATAAAAAAACAATAAAACCACTGCCGTGCAACATTTTACATTAGGTTACAATCTAAGAAAAGAAATAGGAAACGAAATTGTAATGTTATTTTAATGAGATTGACCTTGCTATGACAATCAGCTAACAATTTCTAAAGACGTCTGCTCGCATGAAAATATATGTTTCAAATTTCAATTAGTGAGCAAGTTGCTATGCTCTGCAGATTGCGTGTTAAAGATCCCTTGTCAGTTGGAAAAGAGTAGGCCACCGCAGCCGTCCTTGTTAAACTTACTATACGGCATGGTAAGATTTGGATGACATTTAGAAGCGAGGAGCACATATATAAAAAAACAAATAACATAAGGGAATATATTATGGTATAACACAGTTCTTTAATATCAAAGTACTGGATTGTTTTGATGGTTGCTTTAAAGGGTTGTAAATAGGTCTCCTAAAAATTTTATGCATATCGGGAACACTGATAGCATCAATATGCACCATTACTATTTTCAATCAGACGTCTGTGGTTCCTGCAATTTCACTAAAACTAGGAGTTTGATGAAACCACCAATCGCGAAATATACTGTATCATATAGAAGGACTTAGTGATTAGTGACATCATAGTTTAAGTGGAATTACAAGAACCACAGACGTCTGATTGAAAACTGGAATGTAAATCGATGCTATCAGTGTCTACTATACACATAAAATTATTTGAGAAAACCTCTTTACAATCGCTTTAAGAGTAAAGCTTGGATAATATCGTTGTTTTTCAGTGTATTTTTAACTCAATTCAATTCATTCAAGTAGGCTAATGCTTTCTCTTACAATTTTTGAGAATTTACAAAAATCGACCGAATTTTTTTTTTAGAGTTGTTTACTATCAAACTTCAAACCTTGAAGCTTAGTGATGTACTTATATTTCAAATGAAAATATAACAAAAAATTGAAATTTAAAAAAATGGTTTACGAATGATCAACCATCCAATTACATGTAACATGAAGAAGGCTTCTGTTTAGGAGTAAACAGATTTATCTATGCTACGGATAGGAGCCTATTTCTGTCCCATATTTAAATGATATGTCACGCCCCAAATATATCCAATGGTCATTAAAATTTAACACACTATTTTGAAAAACAAGGAACAGTAAAAGTTGCGTTAAAGGATGACATGCCCCCCACCTGTAAGGGGCCCAACCCCAGAACAAAATGGAGAGCATGTGTCAAAAAACAATTTCCTGTGAAAGGGATTCCATTACAATACACATCTACTGGAGCCACTGACGTTTTGGCAAGAAACTGCCTGCCTGGATAACAGCGAGGAAACGGAGAGGAAGAATATTAAAGTATATCACTTGCCGCTCAATACTCGTCGAAAAAGCTCCATGTAAATCAGGTTTTAGTAACCCATTGCACTTAATTCATTACTCTATGCATTATTTATATTCTTATTACATGTATATCTATCTAGTTAAGAGATGAATAACTTTTAAAAATCTTACCGATGCCTTGAATACACCAAATCCTATTTCCATTATCGGATCAGCCAATGGGTCAGACCGTAGGACAGTATCATCGGATGCCATCGTGCCGTTACCTGTACTGGAAAACTGAAACATCTACTTCGACGAGTCGTTGACGTTCATGTAAACTCTGCAGGTGAAAATAAATTTAAGACACAAATCGCTACGAAATCTGACGTAAATGAAATGAAAACCCGCAAGTCAGCACAAGATATTGCTCTAAAAAACGCAGACCAATTTCTTCTATATTCCCACTCCGTAAGTACTCGCGTGTGACCGCAATAGACGAGGTACTATACGCCGTAAGATGTAATGTACGGTTCGCGATAATCGTTACAGAAGAAAATAGAAGAATGAATACACGTATTCGGATACGATGTGGACACGGTTCGCTATTCTCTTTTCAAAAATCCTGCATCATAAACTGCACCGCGAAGACACCAAACTGTCGACATCTCCGGATACCGCACTGGACACCGCACCGTACACCGCACCGGAAACCACAACGGGACATCGTACCTCGCCTATTCTCACCTTGAAGCTAATTCAGCGATTCAGCACGATGTTCACCGTCCGATCTAACAATCAGCTGATGAAGGAAATATATTCTATTCTAGATTTTATACTCTAAGTCTCTACTTCACACATAAATTTACACCAATCAAAATCACTCAATCTTTAGAATAAACCTTCCGAGTTGAAATATGCCCCTTGATGGACTTTAACACTATACCTTTTGCTGCACCCCTTTCTAATCAGTTCCAGAACAGGCGGCCTGTAGTTTGAAGGGTCGTCTACATCCTTACAACAACTGTTATACTGTACTTTCAACGTATCATGCTAGATTGACAAAAAGCGATCCCGATCATCACGATTTGGAAGCACGATACGATGGGCTCTGTCGCGCTTTGTTACGATCTTATACGTTGATTCCGACTGGTAATCGGTCGTATGATTATGGACAAATGGTAAAAGTTAAAAAAAAAATCAATTTACAGGAGATTGCCACCCCAAAACTGACCGATTGATAGTCTTAAAGGGGCACAATGATTAGTCCACGATTGAGACCACAATTTCAATCGTTCTGCGAATCGTGATAGTGGAACCTTGCATAATGGTTTAAGAAACAATATTTACATTTCTACTATCATTCACTCAATAAACCTTCGCCGGGTCATATGTCTTGTCACATGATAAACCAACGTTTATTTCCCCATAACGATAACAAGATCCACATTCATTCCTTAAATGTCTATGGCCAGTCGAGATGTTTCGATACTAGTAGGGGCCCAGTCGTAGCTCAAATAATGATCACCCTTGACCACCTTCGCGGACGAAATCGCGTATTTGATGAACGTATCTGTTCGTATCTGCTCGTATCGGCTATTGACTGCACGTACTAGATAATCCCAATTCTGGAAATCCGATCGTTTTAGATCGAGAACCAATCGTAGACTCAATCGAAACATTGGAAGCCATCAATCGGAACCTATGAGATCGTATCTGACCAGAATATTCGATCGTGACACTTGAAATTGACATCGCATCAACAGATCGATGTGATATTTCTTACAATTCGATTTAGATGGCAATTAGAACAAACTAGTTTTAGATGAGTTTTTGATTCCCTAAAAAGAAAGAAACAACTATATTTTACAAGGATAACAACTTAGGTTCACAGTTAAAGGGATTGTAAAGAGGGTTTCTAAAATTTGTATGTGTATCGGGGACACTGGTAGCATCAATTTGCTCCATTCCAAATTTCAATTCCTGCAATTCCAGTGACGGTGCCAGCCTTCCGAGACTGGGGGTACAAAATAGGGGGCAGACTGACTCACTGGGAACAACTGCTGAGGCTGAAATCACATGTTGGCTACTCTGTGGTGGCGTCATAGTCGCAAGCCTCTCATAGAGCGTCTTAGAGAGAAAAAATGAATTGATTTTGTGCATTCATATTTTTGAGAAAAAAGGTTTAGATTTGCTGAAAATAGAGTGAGGGGTACAATTGGGGATACAAAGCACTTTAGGGGAGGGGGGGGGGGGGGGCAAAGACCCCCTGCACCCCCACTGGCGCCGCCACCGTCCACTAAAACTAAGTGTTTTATGGCGTCATTAATAGCAAAATATGCCTTATCACTCGATTAGTGACTTCATAAAACGCTTTAAAAATTTAGAAAACCTCTTTAGGATCCTTTCAACCTCTTGGCATTGATATTTCCCGGATTATCCATACCCATTTACAACCGGGTCGACTGGATAGCTTGGTAAATATTGATGAGTATTGCGACAATATAATTGGTTCATTTTATTGCAGACAGCTGTAATGTGAGAGAGAGTCAGCATTTAACTTTAAAAAGTTCGCCCTGACTTTATTTCTAGTTATATAAATACTACATAATGTGTGACCGACTTTTTAAAATAAAAATACAATAAATTTCCCTAAATGTGACCGTTTCAACTTAAACAGCTTCACCCAGCGAATGAAGTGAATTAAAAAGGAGTTTTACTTCTTGTAACATGTTCAATGAGGACATGTAAGCAGCATTAGCCTGTGTGTTTGAGAAATGCTATTGTCGTGGGACTGTTTACGTGTATACGTTGTTGCGTCCTTCGTTTAGCTAGCTTGTCCCCTCCGAAGCTATTAAACCGTTTCCAAGGTCGAGCCCAGGACATCTAAATTGGCGAGGTGGCCATGACTTGCACTATAACCAAGTACGGAGAGGGCAATTGTGAAGCAGGTTATACACGAAATGAAGTGAATCTAGTTTAACATTCTACACTTCTGTACTTCTGTAATTTTAAAAAACTGAGAAGGCAGACGAAGACGGACTCCATGTAGCGTTGACAATTTTCCAGGACAGTGGCCTTCTTTTTCAGTAATTTCCAACTGTTGAGGCAGCTTTAACGTGCATGGCTTGTAGCACCGGTTTAGTGTCCTATTGTCACAATAAGCTTTGAAAATAGGTCTGCTGCATGAGAGCGTTTGCGCGCGTGTGTTTACACTTGGGACAATGGTGCTAACGCGCGATAAGGTCTGTTGGTAATCTTGAACCGACGTCGTCAACTAGCGCAACGTTTGCTAGATAATGGCAGTTGACGGCGTCAGAAGTATAAATCCACCTTAACTCACTGAACCTTCTCGGCTTCCACATGCTATACGCGAGCCACCCCCTTTAAGCCACAAGCAGTTCGCTAGCCGAGTTTTCCTCACTCAGCTGATTGATCATTCATAACGAATGGGTTTTATCCTTCACCTTTCTATACAGATAAAACCACAGACCTGTCTCGTCTCACAAAAGTCGGTTAACAATTTCATATTAAAGCCAATATCTTTATTTTAGGTACATTAAAGTCACAATTTGCAAATTTCGGGATATAATTTGATGTAATTACATCAAAGTGAGAATGTACACTATTCTTACTGTATGTACATCTAAATCACAATGTACACAATCTAAGTACATTTAATTAAAAGCCCCAAGTTTCGTTTTTTTTTTATTAGGTTTTAATTCGAATAAAGCCACTTATGTAAGCGTCTAAAGACGAACATTCGTGAAAATAACGGAACGAAAGTTCATTTTAATTAGACTGTTTTAACTCGGGGCTTAAAACACATTTCTGTTATAATCACTTGATGGCTGCTGATATGTTGCAGCATTGACACTTGACCATAGAGACTGGTTGAAGTCCACCGGCTCCTTCACCCAGAAATAAAAATTACAAAAAGAAATGTAGGAAAGTATCTTTAAGGTTAACACACAATATTGGTTCGCAACTTACGCTAGCGCCATACCAATGGAATTAATTTGACTTACAGAGGGATCTCAGGATGAAGGAGATCACAATACCTTCGCTTGGAGTCACCCCTTACCGGCCGGCCAGAAACTCGGTGAGTGGTGGATCAGCTGTTTCGATCGTTACTATTAATAAATGTATGTGTATGTATATCATCTTTCAATATAAAATGTCGGTTAAACTCTGGCAGGTTTTAATTAATAAGTGATAAATAACGTCGGTTTCAGGTACATTTCGCGTGCATCACGTGAAATATGGATGTCTCAAGGTCGATTGTGCCTGAGAAGGAAATTTTATTGCTGCAATGAATATCAATAGCTGACCGACTTTTTTAAATTTGAATAAAACAAGGCGTATACAAAGCATGCAGTTATTTTATATTTACAGTAGGTTCGTTGATAACGATATTGTGGACTTTAAGGGGCGTTCACACTATAGCTGTCACCAGTTTTTGAATGCAGATTGAGTTGCGAGTTGCGTTCTGGACCACTATTATTATTCGCAACCAACGCAACTGGTAATCGCTATTGTGTGATGGATGTAGCGGCGCAAGTCTACAGAGAGAAGAAATAGGGACAACTGTCGAGGCTGAATTCAAAATTCTATCCCTAGAAAATTTGCGAAAAATAGAATTGATCAGCATTACGACACATATTTTGTATCATAACCGGGAGGTGCAAACCATTTTTGTATCGCTTCTTCCAAATTCGTCCTCAATTTATTCCCATTTCGCTCCTTCCCATTTGCTATTTCCCATTTAGTTACCTTCCCGATTCGCCCTCTTTTTGTGCCCCTTTCCTATTTCGCCCCCATCCCGTTCTGCCATTTTGTACGTTATTCCCACTTCACCTCTTTTAGAGTTCGCCCTTTCCCATTGTATTGTATTACATTTAAAACAGGATTGGACAGTTTAAGAGTAAGTTAAATACAGGAAAAAAAGAAATATAATTTAATGGATATCAGATAAATTTGAAAAGGGCGTAAACATTTACATATACAGGGGAGGGCATAAATACTTTCTGGCAGTTATGCATTCTAATGACTCTAGGGTGGTAGGGGTATGTGGTCTTATGTGCCTGGAGTGATAATCGTTTGTCGTAATGTGTATCTAGGGTGGTAAAGATATTGATCTTATGACTCTAAGGTTGTAAGGGTATATGACCTTTTGACCAAGGGTGGTAAGGGTCTGTGTTCTTATATCTCTCGGTTGGTAAGGGTATGTGATTTAATGTCTATTAGGTTGTAAGAGAATGTAATCTTTTGACCTAGGGTGGCAATTGTTTCTGGTGTTATATCTGTAGGGTGGTAAGGTAATGTGGTCTTATATCTGTAGGGTGGTAAGGTAATGTGGTCTTATATCTGTAGGGTGGTAAGGTAATGTGGTCTTATATCTGTAGGGTGGTAAGGTAATGTGGTCTTATATCTGTAGGGTGGTAAGGTAATGTGGTCTTATATCTGTAGAGTGGTAAGGTACTGTGGTCTTATATCTGTAGGGTGGTAAGGTAATGTGGTCTTATATCTGTAGGGTGGTAAGGTAATGTGGTCTTATATCTGTAGGGTGGTAAAGATTTGTGGTCTAATGACCTCGGGTGTTAATGGGATGCGACCTAGGGTGGTAAGGGTATGTGGGCTAGTGGCTTTAGTGTAACAAGGGAATGTGACCTTTTGACCCAGGATGGTAAGGGTATGTGGTATTGTGACTCTAGTTTGTTAATGGGATCCGACCTAAGGTGGTAAGGGTATGTGGGCTTTAGTGTAACAAGGGAATGTGACCTTTTGACCCAGGATGGTAAGGGTATGTGGTATTGTGACTCTAGAGTGTTAATGGTATGCGACCTAGGGTGGTAAGGGTATGTGGGCTTTAGTGTAACAAGGGTATGTGACCTTTTGACCCAGGATGGTAAGGGTATGTGGTATTGTGACTCTAGGGTGTTAATGGGGTGCGACCTAAGGTGGTAAGGGTATGTGGGCTTTAGTGTAACAAGGGAATGTGACCTTTTGACCCAGGATGGTAAGGGTATGTGGTATTGTGACTCTAGAGTGTTAATGGTATGCGACCTAGGGTGGTAAGTGTATGTGGTATGTGACTCGAGGGTGGTAAGGGTATGTGGTATTGTGACTCTAGGGTGGTAAGGGTATGTGGTATTGTGACTCTAGGGTGGTAAGGGTATGTGCTATTGTGACTCTAGGGTGGTAAGGATATGTGGTATTGTGACTCTAGGGTGGTAAGGGTATGTGATTTTATTTTATGTTTCAAGGGTCGTAAAAGAATGTGACCTTTTGACCTATGATTCTAGGCCGGTAAGGATATGATTATCTTACTGGGTGCACCGTGGCAGACTTTGTAAATAATTTATATATGCAAATATGCGAGGCGTAAATGTTGAAATATTGCTAATTGAAATGTCTTCAAGATGCCAACAAGAAATGGTGCACATCTGGTGACATACAGAAAAATCGAACATTCGGACCAAGGGTCACATTGAACTATCTCGATATGTGGAGTTTGATTTTATATACATTCATGGTTAATCGTTGAATACTATTTTCAAGTGGAATACTTTTCAAATTGACTGATTTAGGAGAGATATAGATTTGGAAGAACTCTTCTGGGGAAGAACGATATCTTGAGGCGTTATGATCGAGATATCTTGGCTAACGTATACCGGTCATCCGAATTCAAATTTATGCAGCTTCCTTGGTAATTTGTTCTATCTTAAGAAGCTTGATGCTATTTATAACTCAGATCGAAGACTAGGTTAAAGTTATCAATATTCGAGATCATCATTAGACTTCGTGACATTCAATAGACTCATAATTATCTTATAACGACGACTTCTTGCTGATCATTTTATAATGTATAGTTGTTTGACATTGGCATGGACGTGAACTTATACAGTGGAATTGAATTTCAGTGACGGAAGTGGGACTTCTTCCAAATACAAAGATCTAAGGTACTGGTATTTTAATGAGAAGTTTGTAATTGTGCTGTCGGCTCGTGTTTTGGATACACAACACTCATCAGGTCAGCTTGTTTCGAAGAGGGTTTTAACTTTCAAATATTAAACTTTATGAAAAGTGCAAAGAAAGTCCGCGAGTAAACAAACTAAGACTAGTGGGAACATTTAACAGAGAAAAAATCTTCGACCAAGCCTTTGATTGTCTCTTAAAGAGGTTTTCCAAATTTTTTTCTATCAGGGACACTAATAGCAGCAATTTGCACCATTCAAATTTTCAATCAGACTTCTGTGCTTCGTGCAATTCCACTAAAACTAAGTGTTTGGTGATATCACTAATCGCAAAATATGCTTTTATCACATGTGTCCCCGATACACATGTAAAAAATTAGAAAGCCTCCTTACAATCCCTTTAAGTTTATCTTGATGTTAAACTATAGTTGTTTAATTTCTGCAAAAAATGTCACAGCTATTGGTCGTCTTTTAAAGGGACAGTAAGCTTTTTATGTGTATTGGTAATATTGATAACATCGATGTAACATTTCAATTTTCAGTCTGAAAATAAATTTGTTCTAACTAATGCAAGGTGCCCGTGGTAAGATAATAGATTATAGTGACTAGAGAAATAAAATTTATCATGGTTTCTCAAAACTACAGAGAACAATTCTTGGTGCATACGCACACCCCTGTTATCAGAATGACTAAAGCATTACAATCTTTCAATGGATGCTGAAAGCCACAGAGAACAATTCTCGGTGCATTGGTACATACCTGTGATCAGAATGTATTGAACTTGAAGGTGGACTGGATTAAGAAATGCACAATTCGGATATAATGCAATTATATAGTCTGCTTACATTGCCCGCGATAATCACTTGCTTAATCCACCTCGCCTTCACAACCTTTCGTGACAATGTGATCAAAATAAACCATGGGTAACTCTATTTTTTCATATACTTAACAAAATATCAACGTAAATAGAATGTTAGCAGGAGAGCATGTAGACAGATTTCGTGACCTCGATAATCTCCTGAACAACCCACCTCGCCTTCAAAATATCCGTGATGTTGTAATCAATAAAAAGCTCATTTTTTCTGTATATTTTAGGAACAAAATAGCAACGTAAAAAGAATATAAAGCAAGAAATTGTGTAGGTAGACAAACTGGTCACTTCAGTCAGTCAGAGAAAGACAACTTTGACAATTGCATAATTTGAAGCAGTTAAATTAGTATATTTTCAGGAACAATAACGGGGAAAACAAGGAAATTCGTAAGGTGGTCAGCTGTACACTGTTAGATTACAACGATAACGAAAGTCGTATTTGCCATGGCCAGTGTTTCTGTGGAGGTCATTGAAACAAATAGTTCCATCGAAGTCTCAAATCTCCAAATTCCGTCAAAGAATTTCAATCCGATACTGGAACAATTCACAGAGTTACTTGCTGCTGGAAATTTCACCAACGGTGAAACCCAGTTTTATAATTTTAGTGGTGCCGACGACCTGTTAGCTGAATTTGAAAACAGTTTTTATACGTTAAATACATACCCTACGGTAGTGCTGTTAACGCTTTATGTACCGGCGTTTCTTATCGCTCTTATAGGCAACATCCTAGTCTTGCTTACTGTATTTACTGATAAAAAGGTGAAAAGAGCCAAGAATTTTTATCTGATCAATCTGGCATTGTCTGATTTATGTGTGACGCTAGTTTGTATCCCGGTGACTGTAAGCTCAATTGTAAGTAGACTGTGGTTTTATGGAATATTCATGTGTAAATTCACAGCATTTCTTCAAGGTAAGTACGTCTAAGTCTGACGGCTAAGACAGTATTAGATTTAATTATTCTTTTTACAAATTGGTAAGGGCGCACAAGGAGCTAAAGTGTCTAACGCCGTGTCGTTTCCACGGGGGTTTGTGGCCCTAGAAACGTCACTGGTCTTGCGTTTGAAATAACCCAATAAAGGGGTTACAGAAAGTAATTCATCGGAAAGCTATTGCCAGCATGCTTAAATATGCTTAATGCTTAACATCTCTATCGACCTGTTTCATAATGATCTGTTTGTTAAGACACCAGGTGTTACCTAACCCTGGGTTATATTCAAAAGCATGTTGTACTTTACCT